CACAACTACAAAGACTCTATATCTCAACTTGTACGTTGATGCTGATCCTGCCCATGCTGAGAAGGGGAGAATGCGGTTGGTCTATTGTTCGACCAATGAAATGGCTACAGATTTCCTCACCAAGAAGCTGACACGTCAGAAGTTCCAGTACTGCAACGAACTCTGCGGAATTATCAAGAAGTGACGCTATCGGACTTCCAGAAATTAAGGGGAGTGTTGTGATAAAATCGTACTTAAGTATTTTTGTAAGTGGTTCCGATAGATATTATCAAATTATACTGTAGTTAGCATCCGTAGAATGACGTCAGCAAATAGCGCTCGTCTGGATGGTTACGTTAGCAGGCCGTTTAGTCACGCGAGCAGTCGCGCTCCTTTTAGTAGCGATTAGAGCGCATACCGCAAATAGTTTTGAACATGTACATTACCGAACAGGTACTTCTAGCAGATATAAGAGTAGCTTGTATGATTTCAATTATCAACCTGTTCTTGAGTAAATTCACGTCTTATGAAGTAGGATCAGAATCAGAAACGCGAAATCCATTTGTGATCCCTTTGCCCGGTCCATTATGCGAAGATCATAAACGAGGGCAGCCCTTTCAGCGTTGCACAAGGATGTCCGATTGGCTGCCCCTACAAACTTATTCGTCACAGCCCTAAACGAATGCCAAACAAGCACAGCGCAGCAAAAGCGCGCCGACGCGCGACGTGCAGCGAGGCGAAGCAGAAAAATCCGAAAATTCACGTAAAGCACGTAACGGGGACAAAAATTCCATTGCTTGTGATTGGAGCGCATGTTTCCCCAGTCCGATTCGGCATGGCGAAGATTTTGAGACTGTCAACCTGCGTGGTCAAGTCTGGGCAGTCGCGGAGATGTTTTGTGTTGTACGCAAGGGTGTGCACGTCGGATCATGCGAGGCATCCTTTTTTGCACGTGAAACTCACTTGCAATAGTTTTACAGGATTGTGGATCTGCACGTTGTAAAATGGTAGGATTAGAAACATGATTGATTCCGATCCTACTTTGTAGGAATTCGCCCTAAGACTTCCGCTGTCTTTCTAGTCTACCATTCCAACAAAGATCCTTGTTCAAGTCTTGAAGTATCACAAGGCTGTAACACTGATTCTGGTGTTACAACTTGTTAATTGTTATGAATGGGACTGCCGAGTAGTGCGGAGGGCAATGGCGAAACTGTGAATGAGTGAATGACAATAAAATGAAAGACAACACAATATATAGAAAACCTAGGGTGATCCTGGACGTAGGAACGGAAGGTTCGGGAAAAGTGTCGAAGGGCCTCGATGTGTCGAAGCAAGGTCCGGAAAGGCCCAGGAGGCTCGAACTGAAAGTTCTGGAACCCAATCGCTGGTTCGGGACTGTTCGAGTCGTACGCCCTGTAGCAAGCCTCAGTAAGGAATTACTCATTCCTTATACTCTCCCCCCTTCTAGATAAGCACACAAATAGACAAAACTACACACACTCTAACTGAATCTTGTAGTAGTGAAGCCACCACTATTGAGAATCTCGAGCTTCTTCAAGGAAACTCCATCCAACGGTCGAAACACGTCAAAACGATCGCCGTCGATCGTAGCCGTCGAATCTTGGTCGAATTACCCAGATAACCAAACGGGCAATAGGGATACTACCGCACCACAGCTTCATTGTCTCCAGCTAGTCCTTCGCTGAGAATTACTAACCCCGTTAGCGTGTACTATATCCGCACAATAACACTACGTTATTCACGCTGCTGCAAGTTGGCGAGCCGAATCTTCTGCATAGCGCCAAACTTGTACGTAGTTCCACAACTGTAGATCACTCCTTGTTGAACTCCTCGTGAGTCATGACACTCGCAGAAACACGCGTCCGTATTTCGCTAAATCAACAAACTCCAGCAATTCGTCAAATGCGAGGTCATTCGCGACACATGCGAGAACACGCGTCCGTGTCTCACGAAATTTTGCGAATTCCATCAGCACATGGACGAAAGCACAATCAGTCTAGTAAGTGTATTCGATGTCACCTCAGGCTGTTAATTCAAACACACCTTCAACTTTCGCCAACTCCTGCGAAAATCCAAAAAGGCCAACTCGAATTTGTCCATCGATTCATTCGGTCGAACAGCATCTATCCGTCAATGCTCATGCAGCGGATGCCAAATTTCGAGGGAAAATCCAAAAAACAACTGCTGCACAGCTGCTCTCTCCCCCCTCCATGAAAAGAAAATCCTCTGTCGTCGATGCCAAAATTTCCCTGCTTCAAGTTTCTTCAGACCCGAAACTTTGAAATGTCTTCAAACTCTGCTCGTCGGGACCAGTCTCGGACCGACCCTATAACGTAGGGCAGCTGTGCCACATAGACTCTAGCTGCATCCAATGCCGTAGATAAATATTCAGCTTCTCAACTGCTGCCGATCTGCTTCATGTAAATTCCGAAACTCCCCCTGACCGGTTCGCCGTGCAGACGTTCACCCATCGCACGGCTACGGCAGGTACCCCAGAAAAACTCAGGTACAGTTCTCAGCTACAAAAAGCGCATTCTCTGCAGTTTTACTGACTAACCATGCTAGTATTTAAACCATCGCACAGCTCGGTAGGTACCCGTGACCCCAGCTACCGCTCCAGCCAAAAACTTGAAGAATTCCCATCCGGAAAATACCCGACGTTAAGCGACGCGCCGACGTTCACCCATCATTTCGCCATTCCAGGTAAATCCACGAATGAGTCCTCGCAGCTGAGTCGTTGATTATAGCCCCACAACTCAGGAATAATCCGTAAAGACTCTCGCGTGACTCCAAATTTTCCGTGACGGCAACACGTTTTTCCCACTGCACCAGTAACCCGCTCCATTTGATGAATACTCTCTAGAGCAGGGGTGAATCCGTCGTATGCCCGTACTTAGGTAAGCGCAAACGCTATCGTAGTTGGGCGAATTAATCAGTCTAATTCGCGGGCAACCACTTTGCAACCTACGTGAGGGATTCTCCTTCCCCTCCCTGAAAAAACCGTATCGGCAAAAATGTGCTCCAAGCTGCTGCAATTTCTTCAACTGGTGCTTCTCGAGTAAAACCCCCCGTAGGCCGCTGTTCACCCAGCGCCCACGTTCGTCCTTCTCAAAATAGTACCACGTACGTTCATTCGAAAAGATCGCAACTCCGTCGATTTCAGCGACAAATCCTCGCCGTTCATATCGGACTCTAGCTCCGCGTACCGTCCGATCTCCGTCGCCAAAAACCTTCTCTTTTTTCATTAACCAGCTTCACGCGCCTCCCACTGTACAGCGTCCGATTTTCACAAATCGTTCGCCAGTCGTGTAGCACCGAAAACATTTCGATCCACCAGCGCAGGGTGATCCGCAAGCTCATCCTCCTTTATTCGTCCGGGAGCGGTCGATAGCATGTATCGTACTACCACCCGGTGGAGATGCTGAAAATCGAGCGACCCAGCCAAGTCAGTCGGGGGATCCGTCCGCCGTTGACTCCGTAAAATTTCCTGGCTGTTCCCAATCGTTCTCCTTCTCTGCGTCAGCTCTTCGTCGTTGACTTTTAGCGGGTGACCCGGTGATGACACTTAAACTCAACCTGAGGGTAGTTTCTGGTCGTCCTCCGTAGATCGTGGAGTGTAATTTCTGACCACAAAAATGGCTTCCTCTGCGGGAATCCAGACTCGCCGAGTTTGAAACTCCAGGGCAGACGAATTACACCTCTAGGCGGGCAGGTAACGAGAAACAATTTCAAGGTCAGTACTCCTCGAAACTCTTCCGTGCCTGAGCCCCACGTGTGCTGCCGTGCGATCCTCGGTCGTGCCGAAAACTCCAACGCAACGTTGCTGAACAGTATCCGAAGTCCCGTCTTCACCTGCGTGTCACCTGCCGGAAACGCCGAGCCCTTTGACATCAGCTACACTTCTCCATGCAGCCACGTCTGCTACACGCGCTCTTGACAAAATTCTCTTCGCCTGGGGATAATCGCGAGCTTGTCGTCTCGTGACGAGCTCCTCGCTCCATTCGGAAACCAATCCGAATCGTCGTTGCCGCTTGCCGAAATTTTCAAAACTGCAACCAAAAACTCCTTTAACGATATGCGAAATGAACAGCATACCGGAAACACTCTTCAAAATGTTCGCCATGTCCGGACGGACACAACCGCCCTCGAGGGGATGGCTCTCGCCCCCCCAAAAAAACAACTTTATGCCCTCGGAAGCCCAGTGGGTGAGGAAAGTGGCCGAGTAGTGCTATGAATGGGACTGCCGAGTAGTGCGGAGGGCAATGGCGAAACTGTGAACGAGTGAATGACAATAAAATGAAAGACAACACAATATATAGAAAACCGATGGTGATCCTGGACGTAGGATCGGAAGGTTCGGGAAAGGTATCGAAGGGCCTCGATGTGTCGAAGTGAGGCCCGGAAAGGCCCAGGAGGCTGAACTGAAAGGTCTGGAACCCAATCGCTGGTTCGAGACTGTTTGAGTCGTACGCCCTGTAGCAAGCCTCAGTAAGGAATTTCTCATTCCTTACATTAATACTGGTTGTTAGTGGAGGTACTTCCACTATTACTTTCTACTTCAAGTACTTGTGGTTGCAGATTCTATACTTAGTCTCCTGCACCACTTTTCAATTTCTTTCACTTACGACGGATCTCGCATACTTGGAGCTAGGCTGACGCAACAAGACTAGAGAGCCAGATCTACTAATCACGAATTCCCAATCACGTGACTCGACCACATTGTACCACGTAATTATTTGTCTAAAACACGCTAGAACCGCCTTTGAGATCATTGTACCATTCTCACCGTTCGAACGGTGCTCCGTTCGTGATCGTATGTCATGCCCTGATGAAAACTTGCAGAAGGGTTGTAACAAGTAGAACGCATCTTTCCAGCAGAAACGATATTTGCGAAATCAGCAGTCACACGTAGCGAAAGGAAAACAGCGACTCATGCGGCGATCGTCGAGATTCGCTCATGCAGTCTTCGATCAGGGACCGGGATGGATATTTTTCGCTTCCAGTGTCGTAGCATGGTGTAACCTCAGTTCGCGAACTCGCGTGGTTAGCAGAGAGGTGCTTTTCAACTTCGTGGATTTTTTCGCTAGAACGAGTAGAAAGGGAAATTAGACGCTGGATAAGCCTTACTGTTCGTTTCCCCGACTTAGTCACACTTACCCCAGCGCAGTCAACCTTTTTTAGGTTCAAACTCAGCGGCATCAGACTTTTTGTTCAATCTGATGCCGCACGGCAAATGTTTTCGCCACGTGTCCCATTTCTGCCGGTGTGCTACCCCCATGAACACAGACACCAGACTCCACTGTTTCTTTTGTTTGGTCCAACCGGCCGATCTTCTTGGAGGGTGACACGAGATTCGAATTTCTACTGTTACAGATTACGATTCTCCGCCTTGATGCGCTACTGTTCCCCAAGTCCCTCTCCCGTCGACCACCCTTCCAATCGTGCATCGCAACTGTGCATTCAGTACACTAGGCATCGAGGACTACAATCATAAGCCACATGGGAGACCCGCTAAAAGAACATAAAAGAGTATGGGGCTTACAAGGTTTAACGGTGTATACAACAACATAAGATAAAACAACATAGAGCTAAACAAGGAGTGTTGGTGTTAATTCACGAAAATGTAACAACAGTGCTAATACGGTTTAACAATGTATTGCAACAAAACCTCATCTGTTCGAGGCTAGTGATAGGAGTGAGGGTGCAAGCCCGGAAAGCTGATGAGCATATCCATGTTGCGGCCAGATAAATGACGAAGTGCTTCAAAGTTCGCATAAACAAGTGATGATAAAGTTGCTTAATGTACGCATGCTTGCTGCCATTTCAGGGTATTAGACTTCTAACTAATATGCTGCCTAAAAAAAGGGGATTTATTCAAATTGTAGTAGACTTTGTCGTGCTTGTGGTAGAACCGAAAGAATTAAGAAGCAGGGATGGAGGAAAAAAATGAGAAGGGAGAGAGGTTGAGAGGTTGACACAGAGAGAGAGAGAGAGAGAGAGAGAGAGAGAGAGAGAGAGAGAGAGAGAGAGAGAGAGAGAGAGAGAGAGATATATATATATATAAAAAGATAGAGGGAGGGAGGGAGAGAGAGAGAGAGAGAGAGAGAGAGAGAGAGAGAGAGAGAGAGAGAGAGAGAGAGAGAGAGAGAGAGAGAGAAAGAGCGAGAGAGAGATAGAGAGAGAGATAGAGAGAGAGAGAGAGAGAGAGAGAGAGAGAGAGAGAGAGAGAGAGAGAGAGAGAGAAAGAGCGAGAGAGAGATAGAGAGAGATAGAGAGAGAGAGAGAGAGAGAGAGAGAGAGAGAGAGAGAGAGAGAGAGAGAGAGAGAGAGAGCCCCTTGAAGTCGGGGCACCCTTGTAATATTTTGAAATGCATGAAGTGAGCAGGATTGCAATTTAGGGGCAGCAGGGTTGAGTGAAACGTCGGAAAACGTGGAAAATGCGAGCGAAAGCGACTGCGACAAACTCCAGCGATCCTTCCGTGAAACCACGGGCGACGTGGAACTCGGGCGTGTTCTGCGCACTAGTGAAATGCACGGTTTCGCCAAGAGGTCACACGATGGTGCACCCGAACTGTACCTTACTAAGATGCGAGATCAGTGGCTCAAAACCTGACTCCGGGCTTTGAAACACCCCCTGACGCGATACCCTTGGACTGCGGAAAATGGTGCACATGTGACTTGACATTGCATACTCATAATTGAGTGAGAAATCAAAGAATGGTTTTTCTTTTCCAGAATAGTCTTGCATGGGACAGCACAGGTGAAGGCCCATTACGTCAAATTATGAATTGAAGTACAAAACGTCAACATAAATGTTACATACATACACATACTTCTTTGGGCTTGGTATGGTAGGGGTTCTACAAAGTACATGATCCTACTGTAGAGAGGACAACCCACTTTCTTGTACCTCTCTCTCATGTCTAGTCATCTCTCGCTACTTAGCTAAACGCTACTTCCCTACTTCAATCTAAAAGTGATTAAATACAACCACCCGAAAGTGCAGGCTCTTGGGTTTAGCCACCATAGGCAATAACTGGCATAGTAAACCATCTCTCCCAACCTTGTTGACGTACAAAGGGGACCGTGGGCATGTGGGGGGCTGCACTTGAAGTAGGGAGGCGGAGGGCCTGCACGCGCATAAAGGGATTTGAAAGGGAGGCAGGGAAGACCGGGACGGGAGGCAGGGAAAAACAGGAAGCATGGAAGAACGAGAGGCAGGGAAGAACTGGCGGCAGGGAGGAACGGGTGGCACGGAGAAATGGGCGGCAGGGAAAAACGGGCGCCAGGGAAGAACGGGAGGCAGGGAAGAACGGGAGGCAGGGAAGAACGGGAGGGGTGGAAGAGTGGGAGGCATGGGGCAATGGGAAGAAGGGTGCAGTGGAAGGCATGGTAGATAGAGAGGCACAGGTGAACTGCCAGTCTGACCTTCCCCTCACTCCCTTCTCCCTCCCGAGCCCTATCCCTCTTCCTACTAACCTCCTCTCCCAGCCATATCCCTCCTGAGCCCATCTCTCTCCCCATCCCTTTCCCCCACTCTGCCAACTCTCTCCCAGCTCCATCCCCATCTCTCCATCCTCCCACTCTGCCCTATCCCCCCCTCTTCTCCCTCCCAGCCCTATTCCTCACTGCCTTCTCACTCTCCCCTGTCTCCCTCCCATCCCTATCCCTCTCTCCCTTCTCCCCCCCATCCCTATCCCTCTCTCCCACCTCCCTAACAACAATCCCTCACTCCCTTCCCCCCCCATCCCTATCCCCCTCTCTCCCTCCTGCTCCCTCCCAGCCCTATCGCCCTCTGTCATTTCTACCACTCAACCATATCCCCCTCTGCCTTCTCCGTCGCGTCCCTATCCCTCTCTCCCATCTTCCTACCATCGTTCCTTCTCGATTCAGGTTTTCGTTGTGTTTATATTTTGTTCCCAGCCAAAAGCAGGAAAATTTACTGCCAGCCAGAAAATACAAATTTCAAGTGAGCCCCTGCCTTGAGTTTTTAGCCAGGGGCTTAAAAAACGGATGTCCAAGGAGGTCTACTTAGGTCTAATTGTCGCAACTTGTCGCGACCCGGAGCTTGACAAGCTTGGAGACATGTTCGGAGGTATAGAGAAGGCAATCCAGTGGAGCATTGGAGAAACGCATCTACAAGTGGCTTAAGGTTGGGGGCGGAGGCGGGGGGGGGAGGAGGGGGGATGGAAGTTGGGGAGAATCACATCATCTGCCCCATTAGTTTAAAACCCTTGGAAGTGTTGCTGCTGCTCCTGGTTCGCCTGTCACATAACTTAAAGAAACTGGCCCAGCCACTCATTTTGTGAAGTCACCACCGTCGCTTGTTGTGCAACTCTACATGCTGCTGCTGTGCCATCTGCTGGTGTGTGCGTTTCTGGAGGTTTTCCCTTCTCTGTAACATCCGCCTCTGTCGACAAGCCCGTTGATGCTCTTGTCTTTGTTGTTGCTGCAGCTGCTGTTCCGGTGACATGGTTGTCGGAGCCTGTTGGGAATGCTGTATCTCTCTGTGAGAATGACCCCCTAAACCGGTTACTGGTGGTTGCTCCACTCTGCTGACTGATGGGGGCTGGGAGGGTGCACCCGCGCTTGGCGCCTGCCCTCGAGTCTCACTGCCCAGGGGTGATGGGCGTGCGGGTCCATGGTTTGGCTGTCGACTATCAGGCATCTGCTCTTCTGCTTCTCCCCCTCCACTCTCCTGGTGTGCAGCCCCATTTTCCGCATCCAATTCCACTTGTGGCGGCATCTGTCGCTGCTGCCCAATCCGCGACAACCTATAAAGACGCTCTCTTACTACATCCTCAACACTCTTGGGCTGAACCCTAGCATGGTTGGTATAGGCACGCCCACCGTTCCGGTCGCTTCCCCTGCTGCTGCTGCTCCTGCTCCACCTCTCTGCAGGCCATCCCCTACACCACCCAGGCGCTCCTCTGTGTTTCCGGCCTCCCCCACTTGCACGTAGCTAGACTCACGTTGAACCACTGGTAGCGTGCGCGGAAAACATTCGACCAATGCTGCATCATTCCCCAGGTCACCCCCGCTGCCATCGCCTTTACCTGAGCCGTCATCATGATCCCCCTCTTGCCCCTGCCCATCCTCATCCTCATCTTCCTCAAACCCCTCGTCAATCTCATTTTTCAAATCCTCCACCTCATCATTGAGCATAGGTGTCTCTGCCCCTTGTGGCCCCCTCATCTCTCTCTCTCGCTGCTCCCTTAGCGGTTCACACAATATGCTCCTGTGGTGGCTGCCCCTACATGCATCACATGGCGCCACACTGGCTGTTGCCTCGGTCTGGGTTGCGGTTTGCATGTTCAAGTGCCCCCGGGGAGTTCGCAGTTCCTCCCGCAACTTACGGATCTGCTTCCGTAGGTCACATGTCTGCCGGTTATGCCCTTTCTCACCACACTTCCCACACTTCCGCAATTTCCTCCCATCAATCTCACCATGTGACCTCAACCTGCGGAGGCAAGGCCGCCCCGCCTTCTTCGGATAGATTGGGGGCAGAGTCCTTCCATCCGGTGTGAATCCCGTCGGGTCAAGGCTGCCGAAAGTGTGGCTGTACACTTTCTTCACTGCCGTTGGAGTGTAGTACGGGGCCACGACATCCATTGCACGTGTGGCATCACCATAAGTTCGGTATGCCGCAAAAACGTGCACACAAGGGAGCCCATACTCACTGCAGAGGGTTTTTTTTTTTGAGGGGGGGGGGGGGGGGGGTGGAGGAGAAAGGGAAAACATGAGGAAAGTGGATGATTTCGATGCAGCGGCATGGCTGTAGGGAGAGATTCAGGGAGGAAGGGGATATGTCGTGGGGATGGGTGGAGAATGCATGGGAGAGTTGGTAAGGACGGGGTTGGATGGGGTTCCAAACAGAGCTGCCATTTAAAGAGTCTCACCGTGTGTAGTTGCATGAGCATGCAGTCTTCCTTGGATCCTGAATGTCGATGACAACACGCCTTTGCTCATTCCCAAAGTTGCGGAGCACTTTGTACGAGTCGGTTGTTGCTGTCTGCAGTCAGAGGTTGTGTCTTCTCCACTGAATATGAGGCCCCCCTCCTTTTGTTTTCAGCGATAATCGCAGCCGTTTTCTTTGGGAAGTCGGAGTCATTCAGCCTCCCATACAGCTCGTGCATTGCACATGTTGAGGTGGCCTCCCGCTGGATGAACGCGAACATCACTTGAGCTGGGTTCAACTTCCTTAAGCCCCGCATGGACGCATGATGCGACATCGCAAAAAGTGCAACGTTCACAGATCGTTTTCACCATTCGAGCTCGGGCATAAAGTCGGAAATCGTCCGCCAAGTGTTCGCCAAATGTTTTTTTCTCGTTTCTTTGCACGTAAATGATTCGCGAGTCTTCTGCGGATGGGATGTTATGCGAATGAGTTGTTTTGTGAATGTTACACCTGAATAATAAACATGTTCCCGTGGCTTATATTTGCATAAATGAATGGTTTTTGTACACTTAAACTTCTACAAAGTTTTAAAATTGTGCATAAGTAACTGAAATATAATAATATATAAAATATGTGCAATTTGCCAAAAAAACTAACTGAATCCAACCCCAACCAACTCAACCCATATCTCACACGCTATTCGAGGTTCGGCGAGACCTGTAACCAGGCTGGGTTACGCAGCTCCAATGGGTTGCGAAACCCAGATACCACGTCCTAACCCTATGCACCGTGAGGAAATTGAAAAACCCCCTCGGGCATCAAAAGGGGCCATGCGATTGGTCGAAGCCAAACAACAACAATCGCAAACCCAACCCACAGCCTGCTCCCTCGACAGCAAAAACGACTAAGGGAAAGATGGTAGCAGATCTCGAATTCGGGATCTGTAATTTTCTCGACTTGCCCTCGTTTCCTCCTAGATCCATGCTCATGCGTAGCCATGCTAGAGAGTTGGTAGCGACTTATAAGATGGGATCGAGGCGACACCGACGTCAGGCTAGTGAACGCGGATATCAATTGAGGTTCTTGGCGCGCGTAGCCTAGCCTGGACGAAATCACCAGCGCCTGAAAACAAGGGCAGGAAACAAATGACGAATCCCCCGCTGCTAACGGCCCACCGTTGCTGGCCGCTATAGCTTCCCGCCGCCTTCGATCTCCTCGTACGAAAATGCCACCCGCGGCTTCCCACATCGTGCTATCCCTGTCCTCGCGCTTCCTTGCTTCCCAAATCCCCGCTTCCCGCTTTCGAAAGCACGTCCGCATCTCACCTTCACGTGCTGCAGCATCTCGCTGTCCCTCGCTTCCTTCCACCCGCTTTCACCCGCGTCCCCCTATCGCTTGCTCCCCGAATCCCGCTTTCCCATGCTCCTCGCATTACCTTGCTCCCCGCATTCCAATGCTCCTCGCATTCCCATGCTTCCCTCATTCCCATTTTCCCGGCATTCCCATGTTCCCCGCATTCCCATGTTCCCCGCATTCCCTTGCTCCCCGCATCTCGCTTTCCCATGCTCCCCGCATCCCGCTTTCCCATGCTCCCCGCATTCCCATGTTCCCTGCATTCCCTTGCTCCCCGCATCCTGCTTTCCCATCCTCCCCACATTCCCATGTTCCCCGCATTCCCTTGCTTGCTCCCCGCATCCCGCTTTCCCATGCTCGCTGCATTCCCTTGCTCCCCGCATTTCCTTGCTCCCCACATCCCGCATTCCCATGCTCCCCGCATTTCCTTGCTCCTCGCATCCCGCATTCCCATGTTCCCCGCATTCCCTTGCTCCCCGCACCCCGCTTTCCCATGCTCCCCGCATTCCCATGTTCCCCGCATTCCTTGCTCCCCGCACCCCGCTTTCCCATCCTCCCCGCATTCCCATGTTCCCCGCATTCCCTTGCTCCCCGCATCCCGCTTTCCCATGCTCTCTGCATTCCCTTGCTCCCTGCATTTCCTTGCTCCCCACATCCCGCATTCCCATGCTTCCCTCATTTCCTTGCTCCCCGCATCCCGCATTCCCATGCTCCCCGCATTCCCGTGTTCCCCGCATTCCCTTGCTCCCCGCACCCCGCTTTCCCATCCTCCCCGAATTCCCATGTTCCCCGCATTCCCT